GCTCACGATGAGTTGTGTGGAAGGACGGTTAGCTAGCTCAGTCGCATGGTTATGTGAGGGCTGTAGGTAATGCTTTTCTGTGGAAGAAAGGCCTTGTTCTCTGTGGGACCAAGTTTTCACTGTGAAGAGTTCATTTCACATGGTTAAGTGTAGGCTTGCATTCATGAATTTTGTTTCTAGCCTCAACCGTTCTGCCGATGTCACTCAAAAGCACATTAACTCTAGGTCAGGCTTCAAGTGAGGCCTCCCTTTCTGCCATGTAGCGGGGGAGGGGCAAATTAATGAATTCATTGGATTTAGGTTAGGGTTATGTCAAGGGTTGAGGCCCTAACCCTAGCTTCATGTCCACTCCCAGCTCAACCCTAACCCTGACACTAACCCTAACTCTAAATTAATGTCCACATCAGGCTTCAAGTGACCCTAAACCTAGCCTCAGGTTGAGACAAGATGTGGAGAATAAGCGAGGGTTAGGGTTGTGCCGGGAGTGGACATGAAGCTCGGGTTAGGAAGAAGTGGCGGTTACATTGATGTAAGCTACAATTACATTGATGTAAGCTACAATCTATCTGCAGTATTAAAGCTGACCTACCCCCAAAAAATTTTTATTAGAAAATAAATGTAAAAAATAAGCAGTGGTAGAGCGAGGGCTGTGGGTGGAGATTTTTAACCCTGTGAGACCCAACGTTGTAAAAATGCAACGTTTCCTAAATTGCATCCTGTACAGGTCCTAAACTCAAAATGTCAAACACTACATAATGCATCTCTTTAGCTCCAGATGTATCTCTCAGTAGTATTTGTTGTGTGTTGGTATGATTATTGTGGCATCAGTAGCCTCTGAAACCGAAGCCTGTCCACTCATCTGAGACCATACTGGTCACCTACACAAGCCATTAAGGAAGACTTCGTTTTTGATCGCCTGAGTTAGAATACCTCATGATAAGCTGCAGACCACACCATTTACCAAGAGAGTTTTCATCTACATTGCCTATAGAAAGTCTATACCCCCTTGAACTTTTCTTCTGATTTTGTTGCGTTACAAAGTGGGAATGAAATAGATTTAATTGTAATTTTCTTGTCATTGATCTACACAAAATACTCCATAATGTCAAAGTGAAAAGAAAATTCTACACATTTTTACAAATTAATACAAATGTAATAACTAAAATATAGTCATTGCATAAGTATTCACCCCCTTTGTTAAGACAAGCCTAAATTAGTTCAGAAGTAACATTTGGCTTAACAAATCACATAACAAGTTATATGGGCTCACTCTGTGTGAAATAATTTGGATTGACATTGTTTTTTTATGACTACCCCTTCCTCTGTCCCCATACATACAATATTTGTAAGGTCCCTCAGTCAAGTATTGAATTTCAACTACAAAGACCAAGGAGCTTTTCGAAAGCCTCATAAAGAAGGGCAACTAGCCCTCCTGTAGCTCAGTTGGTAGAGCATGGCGCTTGCAACGCCAGGGTTGTGGGTTTGATTCCCAAGGGGGGACTCACTAACTGTAAGTCGCTCTCGATAAGAGTGTCTGCTAAATGACGGGGAAAAAAACTATTGGTAGATGGGTAACAAATCAGACGTTGAATATATCTTTAAGCATGGTCAAGTTAATAATTGTGCTGTGGATGATGTATTAAACCACCCAGACACATCAAAGATGCAGTTGTCCTTCTGAACTGAGCTGCAGGACAGGAAGGAAACTGCTTAGGGATGTCACCATGAGGCCATTGGTGATTTTAAAACAGCTACAGAGTTCAATGTCTGTGATGGGAGAAAACTTAGGATGGATCAACAACATTGTAGTGACTCCACAGTAATGACCTAAATAACAGAGTGAAAATAAGAATAAAAATATACAGAATAAAAATATATTCCAAACATGCATATGTATTCAACAAGGCACTAAAGTAATACTGCATAACACGGCAAAGGAATGTTTGGGGCAAATCCTGAGCAAATAACTGACCCTAACCCAATAACTGACCCTAACCCAACTCTAGATTCACTTCCACATCCCGGCTCAACCCTAAACCTAGCCTCAACCCTAACCCTAAGCCCAACCCTAACCCTAACCCTGACCCCTCACCGTAACTCTAACCTAGCTTCACATCCATTCCCGGCTCATCCCTAACCCTAACCATAGATTCATGTCCACATCCCAGCTCAACTATAAACCTAGCCTCGACCCTACCCTAACCCAACAGCAATTTTAACCCTAACCCTAGCTTCATATCCACTCCTGGCTCAAACCTAACCTAACTAATGGTTAGGGTTAGGGTTGAGGTTGGAGTTAAGGTTGAGACGGGATGTGGACGAGAAGTTAGAGCTAGGGTTGAGCCAAGATGTGCAGATGATGCAAAGTTTAAGCTAATTGTAGGGTTGAGCCAGGAGTGGACATGAAGCTAGGGTTAGGGGTAGGAAGAAGCGGAGGTAGCGTGAGGGCTATGGGTGCGACCGCCCTAGGGTCCAAGCACCTACGGGGCCCGTAAGGGGCCCCCTGTTCCTGGAGATTTTTAACCCTGTGAGACCCAACATTGTAATAATAATATACCATTTAGCAGATGCTTTTATCCAAAGCGACTTACAGTCATGCGTGCATACATTTTTAGGTATGGGTGGTCCCGGGAATCGAACCCACTACCCTGGCATTACAAGCGCCATGCTCTACCAATTGAGCTACAGAGGACCACGTTGTAAAAATGCAACGCTTCCTAAATTGCATCCTGTACAGGTCCTAAACTCAAATGTAATGTCATACACTACATAGTGCATCTCCTTAGACCCAGATGTATCTCTCAGTAGTATTTGTAGTGTGTTGGTATGATTATTGTGGCATCAGTAGCCTCTGAAACCGAAACCTGTCCACTCGTCTGAAACCATACTGACACAAGCATTTGTTGTAGGCCATCCATACAAATACATTACTTGAAATATGTGTTCCTCTTCTTTAAGATGTAGTGATCATGTAGAAAAAATGAAATTGATTAACAAATATTCTGTGTCAGAGCTAGAGGTAGTTTTGTAGGTGTTACAAAAACATAACATTGGGCTTAAAGGGTTGACAAACTGAGACCTTGGGCCACATTCATATATTAATAGACAAGTTAGAGAGACTGTTTTCCTTCCAAATTCTGCAAATATGGACAACCAAATACATTAAGACTAACTGTGATGTTCCCTCTACCCATCAAATGTATAGTTTATGAGGTCAGAATACTGCCATTGACGACCATTCATTTGAACATGTGAACTTTTATATGCCTTAATTATAAACTTGTATGGATAAAATATGGATAAAAATTAATAATTATGAGCCTAGTTTAGCCAAGGAGAAAGCACTGAGCTATGTAGGGAGAAAGGCAGGATCCATGATTGACTGTTATAATGAAGGGAGATAATAGAGAGACTACTTTCTGGAGGACAACGTCATGCTAACTCATGCTTTTACATGTGAATTCTTAAAGAGATGGGTGGGGCTGAGGCATAAGAGGTTGAGAACAATGCTAAATAGGGGCGTAAACAAAGAAGAGTGCTCTAGAAAGTGTGAAAATCATTCAAGGGCATTTCTCCTACTTACATTTACATTTACATTTTAGTCATTTAGCAGACACTCTTATCCAGAGCGACTTACAGTTTTAGTGAGTGCATACATTTTTCATACTGGCCCCCCGTGGGAATAACAAGTTTATCAAATTTCAAAGAATTCCAGTGTATGATATACCATTTTGAAGCTCTGAGTCTGTACCTTTATAAATGAAAAAACGGTTGACCCTCATCTTTTCCCATTGACTGCAAATGTATTGACACAAGCATCAACCCTATGACACTTTTATTTTCCCATTGAATGCAACATATTGACAAAAGCATCAATTGGTTGACACATCTTTTCACATTGACTGCAAATGTATTGACATAAGCTTCAACCCTGCTCATCTAGTTGCCTAGATGAGCATCTACCAATTGACACTTATTTCAATAAATTCCATTCAATGGGATAAGAAAAGTGTCAACCAATTGATGCTTATTTCAATATGTTGCAGTCAATGGGAAAAGATGAGCGTGAACCTATTGATGCTTTTCCCATTGACTGCAATGTATTGACATAAGCATCAACCATGTGTCACTTGTATTTTCGCATTGAATGCAATGTATTGACATAAGCATCAATTTGTTGATCTCATCTTTTCCAATTGACTTGAAATATATTTACATAAGCATCAATTGGTTGACACTCATCTTCTACCATTGACTGCAATGTATTGACATAAGTCAACTCTGTGTCACTCATTTTTCCTATTGACTGCAATGTATTGACCTAAGAATCAATAGGTTGACACTTTTCTTATCCCATTGAATGCAATTTATTGAAATAAGTGTCAATTGGTAGATGTTCATCTTTTCACATTGGCACCGCAAAGCCTGCTGGGAGCATGACCAATTGACATATATTTTGGAAAACGTGTCATCATGACGTTTTCCTATGATATGATTTTGCAAAACTTGACATGAGGGTTGGTTGCAATGGGCACGGATGGAAAGGGGCGGCGTTTATTGATTAACAGTATTCACAGTAAGTACACAAGTATATAATGTAAGCGAGACATCAAACACCCTTCATTAAGAAACAGTCTGCTTTGTGACTGATGTACTGCCACATTTTCACAACAATATTGGCGCCACCAGAAGCGTGTTTCTGTATAAGCAAAGCGCAAGAGTTGCATCAACACGCCAAGAGAAAACACTTTTTCAGCAGGATCATGATGGAAGGTCAAGGTAAAGACAGAAGGATGACTAAACTGTGGATATTGACGTTACTGTTATGCGTTTAACCTGCATCTCACTTTCTGGATAAAAAGGTTTCTCAACTACTGCGCGTTTTGGATTGCGGAGCTGGGTTTCGTCCAAAAGGGGTTTTGAAGAAGGATTTATTTCTCTTTTCCTAATTTCATATTTCCTCATCATCCCATCACTGCTTGGAATAGCAGCTCTCTGATGAGAACAGGTTATTTTTCAAAGGATACGAACCGATCTGTGGAAAAGAATGGCAACTTGGTTTACCTTTATCATCGCAATTGTTATAACGATTTTTACGCAGGTAATTTTACAGTTAAACTATTTTTGGAATCGTTCATGCCTGGATGTGACACAGCAATAGTGTTGTAATGCACAATATAATATCATATAATACGCCTATAATAATGCATAAAGTAAATGCTTGCAAAGCAATATTGTTTTATATGCATTAATTGATTATGCTCCTTTAGGTTCTGGGATCTGGTGTATTCGAGCTTGATCTTCATCAGTTTCAGAATAATAGAGGTTTGCTGGCAAACGGCATAGCCTGCAGTCCAGCCTGTAGGACTTTTTTCCGAGTTTGCTTGAAGAACTACCAGACCATAGTGTCACCAGGTGACTGCTACTTCGGCAGTGTCGTTACACCTGTACTAGGCAACAACTCGTTCAGCGTTATGGAGGACGGCACGTTCACTAAACCTATTCGCCTGCCACTCACCCACTTTGCATGGCCGGTAAGACGTTATGCACTGCCTATAATTGAAGTGGTTGAGAATATACAGTATCTGCCTATTGATACATGGAACAACGGTGTTTGCAATGAGATAGATGGTGAAGAGCGTCCATAAGCATAAATCCAAGGACTGCACTAGACTATATGGATGTATGTAATATGAAATATTAGGATTTATGAAGTCATAACATGTTATTAGCCTAGGCTACACATATCATTCAATAATGTTTTTTAAAGAAAAAAAGTAACAAAATGATGTGCAACTGTAACAATGAAATAGTTTAAATGGTAGACCCTTATTTTTTCCACATGTCCTTCTAGGGTTCGTTTTCTCTAATAATTGAAGCATGGTATTCTCCTTCAGCGGATCTACCTGAAGGTGAGTAGTACGCAGCATACATGACCACCGCTAGGTGGCACTGCTATATATGCATGACAAATACTCCCTATGCCAGGGGTCGGCAGCACGCGACCTGCGTGCCAAAACCAGCCCCCTAATCATATTGTCTCAATGTAATCAAGTCATGAAATGATTGTTATTTTAAAATACAATCTATTTTTTGGTTTAGCTGTGGTCAATTTGCAGTGTACAAATTATTATAATTAATTTACGGCCCCCCAACCATTCACTCGGACAAAAATCACCCCACGGCTGAATCTATTTGCCTAAACCTGCCCTATGCACTAGAATGATATCATTAAGCAGTATAAATACATGCAAATTTATACAGACATTTTGCAGTTACATAAATGTGAACGTGTTGATGTCCATGTGTAAGGATGAGTTACGTGCAACAGAGCACTTCTTTTATGCTCTGTCTTCAACACAATCGCACTTCCTTTGGTTTATTTTAAGCGTGGGAAAGTGTGCAAGTCTTTAGTGAGGATATCTAAACCTTGCCAAAAGCCTCTGACGGCCTTTCCTGTATTTTACACCTTTTACTGTTCCGCCCTTTGGAAGGGGAATAATGGATTGAAAATGTTTTGCTGACATAAAGGAAGAGGACATTTCAATCACAGCACACTTAAACCATTTGAAAGAATAGCGCACAGGCATTGATACACTATATATACAAAAGTATGTGGACACCTCTTCAAATTAGTGGATTTGGCTATTTCAGCCACACCCGTTGCTGACAGGTGTATAAAATTGAGCACACAGCCATGCAATCACCATAGAGAAACATTGGAAGAAGAATGGCCTTACTGAAGAGCTCACTGACTTGCACCTTCATGGGATGCCACCTTTCCAACAAGTCAGTTCATAAAATGTCTGCCCTGCTAGAGTTGCCCCAGTCAACTGCAAGTGCTGTTATTGTGAAGTGGAAATGTCTAGAAGCAACAATGGCTCAGCCGCGAAGTGGTAGGCCACACAAGCACACAGAACGGGACCACCGAGTGCTGAAGCTCGTAAAAATCTGTCCTCGTTTGCAACACTCACTACTGAGTTCCAAACTGCCTCTGGAAGCAACATCAGCACAATAACTGTTTGTCGGGAGCTTCATGAAATGGGTTTCCATGGCCGAGCAGCCGCACACAAGCCTAAGATCACCATGTGCAATGCCAAGTGTCGGCTGGAGTGGTGTAAAGCTCGCCGCCATTGGACTCTGGAGCAGTGGAAACGTGTTCTCTGGAGTGATGAATCACACTTCACCATCTGGCAGTCCGACAGACGAATCTGGGTTTGGCACATGCCAGGAGAACGCTACCTGCCTCAATGCATAGTTCCAACTGTAAAGTTTGGTGGAGGAGGAATAATGGTCTGGGGCTGTTTTTCATAGTTCGGGCTAGGCCCCTTAGTTCCAGTGAAGGGAAATCTTAACACTATAGCATACAATTACATTCTAGACGATTCTGCGCTTCCAACTTTGTGGCAACAGTTTGGGGAAGGCCCTTTCCTGTTTCAGCATGACAATGCCCCCATGCACAAAGCGAGGTCCATAAAGAAATGGTTTGTCGAGATCGGTGTGGAAGAACTTGACTGGCCTGCACAGAGCCCTGACCTCAACCCATTCGAACACCTTTGGGATGAATTGGAATGCCGTCTGCGAGCCAGGCCTAATCGCCCAACATCAGTTCCCGACCTCACGAATGCTCTTGTGGCTTAATGGAAGCAAGTTCCCGCAGCAGTGTTCCAACATCTAGTGGAAAGCCTTCCCAGAAGAGTGGAGGCTGTTATAGCAGTAAAGAGGGGACCAACTCCATATCAAAACCCATGATTTTGGAATGAGATGTTCGACTAGCAGGTGTCCACATACTTTTGGTCATGTAGTGTATACCATAAACTGAAAACTTGCATTAAATGTACTTTCTATATATCCTTTAGAGATAAATAATTCAAGACAACAATGTCCATTGTTTGTTTTGACCTTTTTAACAAGCATAGACTGCATGCATGCAATGATACCTATTTGATAAGGCAATGAAAAAAAGGACGTTAGGCCACACTATCTTGATGGATTTGTTTTGTTCTCTATTCCCGCAGATACAAACAACCCTGCCTTATTGATTAGTTCTTTTTGCATCCAAAGAAAGTTGGAAGTAGGGGATGAGTGGTCCCAGGATGTGCAGAGTGGGGGGCAGACAGAGTTAAGGTACTCATACCGGTTCATCTGCATTGAAAATTACTACGGGGACAGTTGTTCCAAAATATGTGCTCCAAGAGACGACCGTTTTGGCCACTACACCTGCAACCCTGAAGGGCAAATATCATGTCTACCGGGCTGGAAGGGAGAATACTGCGAAGAACGTAAGCAATCAGAGTGAAATGTTCTGGGTTTCTGAAGATTTTTCACATTATGTACTAGGATGTTATTTCTCAAATTAGGCCTATTTGCAAAATGGGGTCTATAGTGTCAAGATGCTGCTGCTCTAGAAAGGCTTGGATCATATTTGTATTTTGGAGTGACAAGGTTGAGAGAAAAAACTGTAGCTCCCTCCCAACCCAACCCCTTTATCCCTAGATGTTTTACCACTTTGGCCACGTGGGTAGAATAATCCCGGGTAGCATTCTGGAAAAGCAGCACGCGCCGAGTTAATCGCGGCATTATTATCCGCCACGCGCCGCTAAATTGCGGGCTATTTTGTTGAGCGGGAGGGCAGCAGCTGCAAACAGGGTTCTAACAGCCTACGAACAACAATGGGGCAGCTGTCCTCTTTTGAGAGCAAGCATCTGCTCAGACTTAACCAGCCGTTAAACACTAGTCTTGTAACCATGCAAAATCAATGTCACATATAACACAACACAGAAGCAGCAAATTAAGGTTTCTTTATAAATAGACAGGTACAACAGGTTTGATGCTACAACAGTGGAAATGTGATTCCTAATCCAAACCAGAAGCTTATGATGTATTGTTGCATGAGTTGACAAAAAATTTAGTTAATGTTTTGTCTCAATTTTATATGCAGCAATTTGCCTTGAAGGGTGCAGCAAAAATAATGGAAATTGCTCAAGGCCAGGAGAGTGTGTGTAAGTATACAATAGTAATTATAGTGTGTGTGTGTGTGTGTGTGTGTGTGTGTGTGTGTGTGTGTGTGTGTGTGTGTGTGTGCCTGCATGTGTATATGCCTGCATGTGTGTATGCACACAGTGCTAAAAGTGTGGTGTTTTTTCTGTGACAGATGCAGAGAGGGTTGGCAGGGCAACTTCTGTGATGAGTGTAAGAGGCATCCGTCCTGCAAACACGGCACCTGTCAGCAGCCCTGGCAGTGCACCTGCAATGAGGGCTGGGGAGGCCTCCTCTGTGACCAAGGTTAGTGTTTCAGGCTCCTCTGGGTCATGCTGTGAAACAATACAGAAGTACAGCAGTTCAAAAGCCCTTAGGGGGAAAACACAGGACATCCTATATGAGTAGAAATATGACATGTTCCTATGATATTGCAAGAACAAGAGTCATCAGGCGTTCTGATTATGATAGGAGAAGAGAGGCGGGGAATAACTGTTTTTCATATAAACATTTGTCCACAGATCTGAACTATTGCACCCATCACAAGCCGTGTCGTAACGAGGCCACCTGTATGAACACGGGCCAGGGGAGCTACACCTGTACCTGCCAGCCAGGCTTCACAGGGGACAAGTGTGACAGCGAGGTCAGGGAGTGCGACAGCCAGCCCTGTCGGAATGGAGGCCTGTGCTTGGTAAGCCTATCCGTTTCCCACAACACACAGCACACACAGGCTTTCCTGTTTTTGTTTTTCCTGTATCCACATCTCTGGGCCAGTATAGAAAAATGCAACAGACAGACCTTTAGCCAGATCACTGACCCAGTTCACAGACTCTCTCCTGTAAATTAATGTTATTCAAACTGGGGCAAAGGGGGCATGATGAGATAATAATGTAGAGTCGCAAAGGCATCGAAATGAGAGGCACAGCAACAAACCTACAGTGGTCTTTGCTGGAATTGTTTCCTATGACAGTGGGCTGTGATAACCTCTGACTCTCTGTGACCCACAGGACCTTGAGAACGGCTATAGGTGTGCATGCCCACAGGGGTTCGAGGGGACGCACTGCGAGCACAGAATGCTGACTTGCGCCGATTCACCCTGCTTCCACGGGAAATGCAGAGAAAGAGACAACGGGCGGAGCTACTTGTGCGAGTGCCCAGGGGGCTTCACTGGACTCAACTGTGAGAAGAAAGTGGACAAATGCACCTCCCTGCCCTGTACAAATGGTATGTGATAGTTTCCACTCTCTCTACATCTCAACAACAAGGATTGTCTTCGAGTTATTTTCTACACTGTCAGTACAGCGCCTTTACTCAAACAGATCCATTTGGAATGTTCTCTCTAGAGACATCTGCATTAGAGCTAACTTAAAGTGAATGTGATGTGCACTTTTTGATAACGCTGGTCTGCTCTATTCAGGTGGACGTTGTGTTATCCACGGCACCACACGCTGGTGCAGCTGCCGCTCAGGATTCACCGGCCCACGCTGTGAGATTAACATCAACGAGTGTTCCATGAACCCCTGCGCCAACGGAGCCACCTGCATGGACCGCATCAACGACTACACCTGTATCTGCCCCCTGGGCTACAATGGCCGCAACTGTGACAAGCCTACTGACCGCTGTGCCCCCAAACCCTGCCGAAACGGTGGGACATGCACCGATGGGGCCAAAGGCCAGCCCGCTGCCTGCACCTGCCCAGCACACTTCAGTGGCCCCCAGTGCCAGTACTACAACGTGCCTTTACTCATCTCCCCCAGCCCCAGCCCCAGCCCCGTCAGAGAGCCCCTGGACAGGCTCCACTGGGCAGCCATCTGTCTGGGTGTGGGCCTGGTGGTGCTCCTGGTGCTGATCTGCATGGTGTCCATGGTCCTGCGCCACATCCAGCAGCAGAGGAAGAGGGAGCAGGCCTCAGAAACCATGAACAACCTATCAGATGTCCAGAAGGAGAACCTCATATCTGACCTGCAGCTGAAGAACACCAACCAAAAGGTGGACCTGGACCTGGAGGTGGATTGTCTCAGGGAGAAGTCACAAAACCATAAACACATCAACTACCACTTGGACTACAAAACCTCCAAGGACTACAAGGATGAACCATCACAAGAGGATAAAGATGACAACTGTAAAAAGACCATAGAGGAGAAAATGCCATTGACTAGAAAATACAGGTAAGTTCCCAATGGGGACAGACGACAATTCAACGTCTATTCCATGTTGGTACTGAAATGACGTGGAAACAACGTTGATTCAAACCAGTGTGTGCCCAGTGTGTAGAAATGCTGCTTGCAGATGACAACCTGGATAGATTTAGAACCTGGATAGATACTATTCTCCAGTGTTTGATAAATGACAGTGGTTTGGATTTGTGCTTGAGTGTTGACATGTTTTCCTTTTCATTTACAGCGAAAGGCCAGAGTGTAGGATATCAACGATATGTTCTCCAAGAGATTCAATGTACCAGTCTGTGTTTGTGATAGCAGAGGAGAAAAATGAATGCGTCATAGCAACTGAGGTAAGCTTTTATTTTCACATTTCCTCTGAACATGTTCCTGCAACTCTTGACACCATGTCATTAACAGTTATCAATCAGCAATGCCAAAGTTGATCAAGGTTTCCATTACATTGCTCCGATGATTAAATGTATTTCCTTTTTTTCTTCTCCTAGGTATAATACATGGATGGTATCAGACATTCTGAAGAATGGATATCTTCTGGACTGTTTACAGCTGTAGAATTAGACTGGGATTTATTTAACTGCAAATTGCTGCTCTTGAAAACTTGATAACTGGTCCGAGCCTGTGTGCTCTATGAATGCAATAGGACTCAAACTACAGACCTTTGTTAATATGTAAGGACTGAACAGACTGTAATTGAGAAATAATGTAGACTTTTGGACGTTTCACCCTCGGTGTGTACTGACAGATTCAGCCCCTTGACAGAACATCCCACCATATCCATGGGGGAAAACGCCTATGTTAATGCCAGCATGCCCATTAGCAGGAGGAGAGGGCTCTGTCTGGAGATACTCCACCTTATTGTGATAATTAGCAACCAACCAATCAACTTACTGCCAACAAGCCTGTGGAAGGAGCCAACTACTTCAATTTCTCTACCCTGGTGAAGTGATATATAATAAGGCAGACTTTGTTTAATAAACTTTCAAGGAGAGGAAAAAACAAAATTCTGGAAACGGTTCATTTTATGAGAATATTTGAGACCCAGGCCTATGTCAATTTTGTAAATTAAATTTTAAACTTTTATAAACAATGTATGCATCCCGAATCACAGAGCCTTAAGTATGGGTTAAAGAGCTAAATTGGTGCCCAGCTTCTTCTTGGATCCAGTGCACAACAACAAAATGAAGGGAAAATACTTTGAAGAGAAAACAACTGATGCAATACATGATGCAGTGCCAGGGGGTTTCAAGAATAAGCAATATTTACTTCTTATTATGCAACATTGCCCAGAAATGAAGACAAAGGAAAACAAAAGTGACTATCATACCAAGGACGCCTTTAATTAGAGTTGACTTCACTGAACCAATAATGTTATTTTTAAGATGAGTATTTCACTAGTTATTTAAATATTTTTAAGCACTGGCCTTTCTATGTTTTATAAGATTATTTTGTATATAATGTATATTTATAAATGTAGAAGTCTGTGTACAACTGTTTTTTATTTTATGGCCAAAAAGTTGAATTTAAGTTTTAATGTTGTTGTGATTGTTGTTTTTTAAACAATTAACAAATATCTGGTACACTGTCGTTTGTTGGCTTCATGTTGAGTAGATGTGGTCAACTATAGAGCTATAAATATGCCTAGATATTGGAATGATCAAGAACCTTCAGTTGAAGTCCATCACCTGTTGTGGAAATGGCTTCATTGTCTAGATAATGTATGACGTAGCAGTTCTAATAATCACATGTATACGGTGGTGAGAGGCATGTGTGTCAATGTGATGTTAAATCAATGTGCTCGCAATCATTCAGTGGACAGTTTTGTATGTGACAGCAATGTGAGAAATCTGGACAAAGTTATATATTAAAACATGTAATGTTAAAGTACAGTACACAGATTGGTCAGTATTTGAATGGAAGTGTTTCTTTCAAAAATAACACCAATCTCACCGCTATGCCCCTTGTTGTTAAGCATTCAAGTCGCTTTCAACTGGCTTCAAATTTCAAGCTGTTTTCTTGGATGTCCGCCCCATAAGCTAAAATACTGAGAAGAGGAGAGGGCACAATCTAGAAAAGAGGCTACTTAACAAACCAGGCAGATGCTTTAGGGTGTGACCCTACACCACTGTGAAAATCAGTTCATGCCTCCTCTCTAACTAAGCATGAATGCAGCAAATTGGGCCCCAGGAGTCCAGTGGCAAGTTACCAGCAGCCTTGAAGGGTTGCAAAAGCCAACACAACACCCTGGCCAGTCCTGATCTCCCAACAAAGACATGTAGGCTATCACATGCTTGCCGTGACACACACATGCCCAAATGGAATGACTTTAACATATCTAGACTGAAAAAACACCTGATTATCCATCTCTAGTATTATATTGATTAGTTTGATTAATTATTTTGTCCCAACAACCCTAACACCCACACATTTTTATTTTCCACATATTCTGTCCCATTTTACAACCTCATCAGACATCTACCACAAAGCCATGTATTTTCATTGTGTTATAATAAAAGCATCCCGTTCGTGGCCATCATTTCCTGCTTCCCGTCAGATTAAAATGCACAGGACAATGGCAAACAACTTTTCTCACACATCTGTTATGAAAAGTCTTTATGTTGATAAAATGAACATTCTCCCATTCCTACAGTTAAAAACATCATGATCAATTGCTCTATGTATTTCACAAGTATCAGATGCTTGATTATAAAGGCATTTATTCATCAAAAAAATCTTAGAAGAACCATATAGAACAAACATACATTGTGAATGACTGCTTTACAACACTCAAACAATGAGAATGAAATCTAAATTAAACCTTTAAAAAGTTATAAAAGTAGAATGTGTAAAAAAAAATACATGCCAGTTTCCTTTCTTTTTGTAATGTTCTTAATTAACACTTGGCGGCAGTAAACCATACACGGAAGGAAATTGTAATTGAGACAGACTGAACTTTTAATTTTTACACACTTGAAACACAAAGTTACTTCCAACATTTCTTTAAATACTTAAAATGAGAATTGGCTAACTAGAGGCTTTGAGAATCACAATGAGGTCATAACAAACAATTTAGTAAAATAATAATGGCTTCTGCAAAGCAAAATGTTATGATTTTGTGATGATATCAAATATAGTACATGGAATACCATTATCAGACTGTGTTGTCCATGGCATGGTAGGACCAAAACATAATTGTCCTAGCCAGAGGCCAATGAGGGCTGAAGGTAAATCGCCTGCTTAAGAGTCATTCATTGACCATGTATGATACAAGCTTATAGGGTGCTAGAGAGGCAACGACGAAGAGAACAGACATTTAATGGGCTTTACAAAGCTTGGATCTTTATGGGAACGTTATAAAGTCCGGAGGTTGTGGGTGGAGCTAGAAGTTGGCTGTATTACAATGTAAACGTACTTTTAATCCGTCTGTCTGCATATTTCAAGACATGGCATATGGGGGTGTAGTGAGATACCCAATGGGCTGGACGATTCTCTTCTCATCACTCATCTTGAAAAAACGTGTACTAAAAACTTGGAAATCAATCAATCCGCCATCATTAACACAATGGAAAAATTGATTTATTTATTACTGAAATATTGAAATAGCATGGGCGACCGAGAAAAACAAATTGATACAATTTAAGGCCAAGTGGCAAACAATAATGCCGGCACTAGGGATGAGGGTGTGAGCATGCAGGTCTGGGCAGATGAGACATAGTCATTGTTTGTGTGCGTTTGTAAGTTGTTGTTCGTATGTATAAGTTTGAATATGGAGTAAAAACATAATAATAATACATTAATTAATTACAATTAATTAAAAAATACAATGCTTGGATCTTATTTTCCAAACTAATGCTTCTATTTATAGCTAATTTTGTTATCTGCTGCTGCAGTATCAGACTATTTGACTCTAAAGGATATAAAGGGAGATCCATTTTCACATAGGATTAAAAATAGACAGGATTGCTGCTTTCCTTACTTTCCTGACTGTGCAGAGCAACAAGGCAAAAAATGATATACCAACAGTACTTCAAAGTGAGTAAACACTGATTTTTCACACACACTACTATCGCCAACAACGTCCATGGTGGAATTGCAAGATCTCAAGCAAAGCATTTTTACAGGATATACTAAATTCAACTTAATTCAACAAGTTTGGACATTGGACAGCCAGTGTCACTGTCAATCTATGTCTAACCAGGGAGCATAATGCTCAAACATAAGCTTTCAAAATCCTGTGAATGGGGCAAAAATTACTTACAGTTTCTGATAATGTGTTACATAAACTATCTTCTGACATACAATGAATGGATGGAAGAATGAATGAATGAATGAATTAATCGATATTTGTGTTTCTTTTATGTGACTCAAGATTATTAGACACCATTTTCAGTCAATCAAATGACTACAAGATTGCATTTACAGTACATTGTACATTACTTCAAGTGGCACCTCAAGTGAAGACTAAATTACACACTTAATAAATCCCCTTTCTTATCAAAACAGTTGTGATGTTCAAAATCAAAGTAGGCCTATGTTCAGACAGTACATATCTCTCATATTGTCGCTTGTTATGGTTGTCAGTCTGTTCAATCTTGAGATACAATGTTGCAACATTGTAACATTAATTCGAAAGTTGGATTCCTGAGAATGTTTTGCTCCCGAAAAGGATACGAATTGGTCGGCTTGTACTTATAGTACGACCTATTCTCTGATATCATTGGTCAGAAACGTCTTGGTCTGACGTCTTAACACAACAAATACACGTGTCAGTACACCAAGATAATGTTGCTAGTACTGTACATTGTCTGACACACGAAAACGTATAGTAGGCCTACTTATAGAAGTTGCACAGTGAGAGATACTAGACCTATGCATCAGTTCTTTCACATTTTATCGACACCTTGGGATAGGCTATAATAGGCTTATTACGCATCAGCAAGACTAGTCGAAATGCCTAGGAAAAAACGTTGATGGCGATGATAGGCTTTTACAGCGAATAGGTCTGAAAAGTCTCATGCTTCGGAATGCATCTACAAAAAAGAGTGAGCTGCATCGGTAACATCGTAGAACAGTTATTTATTGACAGAAGAACATAGGCAACACTTTACGTCTACTCTTACATCTTACCTCAACCCTAACTAACCATAATGAAGCTTCTGGCCATTACTACATCAGAAAAACCCAGCCTGTGGATATTCGGGTATGGCTCCTTAGTCTGGAAACCAGACTTCAAATACAAGAGGAGTGAAGTCGGTTATATTGAAGGATATAGTCGACGCTTCTGGCATGGGGACAATTTTCATCGAGGAGACAAAGACATGGTAAGTCTTTACCTTAAGAAATGAAATTCATGTATTTACTGCTGCTGTAGACAGACACAATATTATCTCAGATCAAACTGCAGAGCTTCAGAAAGTGGGAAGTCTAAGGAAGTCAAATAAAAAAAGTTTGATTTGTGATGCAAACATTTTGGATATGGAAATGTCGATGTAGCCTACTGTAGCCCATCTGGAAATGAAATGGTTAAAAATGCTGAGTGTGCATTTATCCTCATGCACTCTCTCTCTGTCCACAGCCAGGTAGAGTGGTAACTTTGGTGGAAGATCATGATGTAAGTGGCCTTGTTTCAAAACAACCCAGAACACACGTACAGCTCACATTTGATTTGATCCTGTCTACCATGAATAAGTTCTGTACTGTATGTTGTAAAATACATTGACATTGGTAAAGTCCATCTTGTTGATAAACTGAACTTTGTTGACTATTGACTTGCTCCTTGAAGTTGAACTCCTGTCCCAGTCTAACATCCACCTCTTCTTCTCACTGCAGGCTTCCACCTGGGGGGTAGCCTACGAGGTCACTGACTCCCAGATGGAGGAGTCTCTGCAGTACCTGAATGTGAGAGAGGCTGTGCTGGGGGGCTACATCACCAAGATGGTGGAGTTCACTCCCAGAGAGAAGTGCCAAGGGTCTCTGCTCGCCCTGGTCTACATTGCCACCTCTGACAACCCCATATACCTCGGGCCTGCCACTCCCACAGAGATAGCTGCTCAGATTGCCATCTGCAGAGGCAACACGGGCCACAACATAGAGTACCTCCTACGCCTGGCTGAGTTCATGAGGCTGTACTGTCCCGAGGTAGAGGACGACCATCTCTTCTCCATAGAGGCAGCTGCCCTGGCTCTGATTATCTGAACTACCAGGGCCAAGGATACTCACATCAGACCAACGATACGACACTCAATGCTATGACACTCGCTAATGTGAACAATGTGAAGACAGTGTGAGTCACTCCACCTCATAAAAAGGGTCAACATGTCACGATCACTGTTTTTGTTGTCCATTGTCAGTGAACGCCCATGACATTGACATTTTTTAAGCTAAAAGGGCAATGAGATTAGAATTAAGGGCAATGAGATTAGAATTAAGGTGCAGTATGTTTCTCTACAAGGTGTGTAAACATTCTAACAGTCTAATAAATACATTTCATATATGGTATCGGAAAGATAAATAATATTTTGGTTGTGTTTATGAAGGTCTTGGGTAACATTAGAATATGAAAAAGTCATTATTTAAAAGAACAAAATAGCATTTTCATTAGTTTGTGTTACTGTAGGCTATCTATTGCCTCATGCTCAAGTGTGGAGCTCATGGAACAGTGGTTATTTTGAAATAGAGCTCATCTCTTACATTTTAAGAGTTATTTGGCAATGGAAGCCTCAGAATGTGCTCTTACCTGCATGTGACGCTGTAGGACGATTTGAAAAAGTAACTTTGTGGCTCTCCAAGAAAAAAAAAAGACGTCCTCTTAAAACTGCATATAACACAAATTCTGTTTGTGATATCAAAATTCAAACAAACACCTCCGTTTATTAAATGTACTTATTTAGGAAAAGTCAAGAACAGAAGGGGGAAATTTTAAATTCATATTGAGTCAAAATGACTCACTAGGCTTTTTGGTGTTAACATGGCTGTTGACCTTGTGCAATAATGGTGACAGATTTCACCTTTCCGGGAATTTGTTTGATAAGGACTACGTTTGTACACAACTCTGCTTTCTAGTATAGCCATGAACAGCATTTAAAGGTGTAATATGCAGAAATCTCTCTGCCATTTCCTGGTTTCTAAAATTCTAATAGTTCGCCTAATTTCAGTTTATGTGACAAAGCAAGCAATGTACAGTATAGTGTAGAGAATCATTTTACTATCGAAGCCACTGTGAAATATCTTTTCAATAACCAAAAATATTGTACTTTCAGCTGTTTGAAGCTGGTGTACAAAACCGAAAGTAAAAGACGCAAAAACTAAACTTAAGATCGGGAAGCATAGAAATAGCGCACATAGAACATATCTACCACTTCTTAGGCTTGCTTTCAATGAGAATGACATATCTAAAACTCACATTTCTATGTAAATTTGGTCGGGTCGCCCATACGCTACATATTGCAGCTTTAATGTATACTTCTAAGGCACTGCATCGCAGTGCTAGCTGTGCCACTAGAGATCCTGGTTCGAATCCAGTCTATGTCGTAGCTGGCCGCGACCGGGAGACTCATGGTGCGGCGCACAAGTCGTCCAGGGTAGGGGAGGTAATGGCCGGCAGGGATGTTAGCTCAGTTGGTAGAGCATGGCGTTTGCAACGCCAGGGTTGTGGGTTCGATTCCCATGGGGGCAAAAAATGAAACAAAATAATGTATGCACTCACTAACTGTAAGTCGCTCTGGATAAGAGTGTCTGTTAAATGACTAAAATGTAAATGTACTTTGATTACAAAGCAGCAGTTAATCATAAAGTAGCCTTGCGTTGCCATACTGTTACTCCTAGGGCTTCTTACTATGAAGACACAGAGGCTGGCTGATGGAAGAAAATATTCATAAAAAACAGGATATTTAACCTTTACCTGTTTCTGGTCTGACTTTAAAAACTGGTTTTGATATAGATGGGTCATGCATGTCTCAGGATTGAGTCATGCAAATACTTATCCTGTGTGGAAATAAGATTATTATTATTATTATTATTATTATTATTATTATTTTGTATTACATATATTTTTTTTTAGGGGGTAGATCAGCTTTAATATTGCAGATATATTGTAACTTCCATCAATGTAATTGTCTGCATCACATCCAATCACCCATATGTTTATCTCATGGAAGGCCAGTATGGAGAAAAAAAAATGTATGCACTCACTAACTGTAAGTCGCTCTGGATAAGAGTGTCTGCTAAATGACTAAAATGTAAAAAAATGTAAAAGTAATGTTTTAATTTTCTAATTTTCTCGCATATATATATATATATATATATATATATATATATATATATATATATATATATATATACAGTGGGGAAAAAAAGTATTTAGTCAGCCACCAATTGTGCAAGTTCTCCCACTTAAAACGATGAGAGAGGCCTGTAATTTTCATCATAGGTACACGTCAACTATGACAGACAAATTGAGTATTTTTTTTCCAGAAAATCACATTGTAGGATTTTTATGATTTTATTTGCAAATTATGGTGGAAAATAAGTATTTGGTCACCTACAAACAAGAAAGATTTCTGGCTCTCACAGACCTGTAACTTCTTCTTTAAGAGGCTCCTCTGTCCTCCACTCGTTACCTGTATTAATGGCACCTGTTTGAACTTGTTATCAGTATAAAAGACGCCTGTCCACAACCTCAAACACTCCAAACTCCACTATGGCCAAGACCAAGGAGCTGTCAAAGGACACCAGAAACAAAATTGTAGACCTGCACCAGGCTGGGAAGACTGAATCTGCAATAGGTAAGCAGCTTGGTTTGAAGAAATCAACTGTGGGAGCAATTATTAGGAAATGGAAGACATACAAGACCACTGATAATCTCCCTCGATCTGGGGCTCCACGCAAGATCTCACCCCGTGGGGTCAAAATGATCACAAGAACGGTGAGCAAAAATCCCAGAACCACATGGGGGGACCTAGTGAATGACCTGCAGAGAGCTGGGACCAAAGTAACAAAGCCTACCATCAGTAACACACTACGCCGCCAGGGACTCAAATCCTGCAGTGCCAGACGTGTCTCCCTGCTTAAGCCAGTACATGTCCAGGCCCGTCTGAAGTTTGCTAGAGTGCATTTGGATGATCCAGAAGAGGATTGGGAGAATGTCATATGGTCAGATGAAACCAAAATAGAACTTTTTGGTAAAAACTAAACTCGTCGTGTTTGGAGGACAAAGAATGTTGAGTTGCATTCAAAGAACACCATACCTACTGTGAAGCATGGGGGTGGAAACATCATGCTTTGGGGCTGTTTTTTTGCAAAGGGACCAGGACGACTGATCCATGTAAAGGAAAGAATGAATGGGGCCATGTATCGTGAGATTTTGAGTGAAAACCTCCTTCCATCAGCAAGGGCATTGAAGATGAAACGTGGCTGGGTCTTTCAGCATGACAATGATCCCAAACACACCGCCCGGGCAACGAAGGAGTGGCTTCGTAAGAAGCATTTCAAGGTCCTGGAGTGGCCTAGCCAGTCTCCAGATCTCAACCCCATAGAAAATCTTTGGAGGGAGTTGAAAGTCCGTGTTGCCCAGCGACAGCCCCAAAACATCACTGCTCTAGAGGAGATCTGCATGGAGGAATGGGCCAAAATACCAGCAACAGTGTGTGAAAATCTTGTGAAGACTTACAGAAAACGTTTGACCTGTGTCATTGCCAACAAAGGGTATGTAACAAAGTATTGAGAAACTTTTGTTATTGACCAAATACTTATTTTCCACCATAATTTGCAAATAAATTCATTAAAAATCCTACAATGTGATTTTCTGATTTTTTTCCCCTCATTTTCTCTGTCATAGTTGACGTGTACCTATGATGAAAATTACAGGCCTCTCTCATCTTTTTAAGTGGAGAACTTGCACAATTGGTGGCTGACTAAATACTTTATTTCCCCTGCTGATTTTGTACGTTTGCCCACTGACAAAGAAATGGTCAGTCTATAATTTTAATGGTAGGTTTATTTGAACAGTGAGAGACAGAATAACAACAACAAAATCCAGAAAAACTCATGTCAAAAATGTTATAAATTGATTTGCATTTTAATGAGGGAAATAAGTATTTGACCCCTCTGCAAAACATGACTTAGTACTTGGTGGCAAAACCCTTGTTGGCAATCACAGAGGTCAGACGTTTCAACTGTGCGAAACAAAAATCCATAAAATCACATTGTATGATTTTTAAGTAATTAATTTGCATTTTATTGCATGACATAAGTATTTGATCACCTACCAACCAGTAAGAATTCTGTCTCTCACAGACCTGTTAGTTTTTCTTTAAGAAGCGCTCCTGTTCTCCACTCATTACCTGTATTAACTGCACCTGTTTGAACTCGTTACCTGTATAAAAGACACATGTCCACACACTCAATCAAACAGACTCCAACCTCTCCACAATGGCCAAGACCAGAGAGCTGTGTAAGGACATCAGGGATACAATTGTAGTCCTGCACAAGGCTGGGATGGGCTACAGGACAATAGGCAAGCAGCTTGGTGAGAAGGCAACAACTGTTGGCGCAATTATTAGAAAATGGAAGAAGTTCAAGATGACGGTCAATCACCCTCGGTCTGGGGCTCCAAGCAAGATCTCACCTCGTGGGGAAGAGAGCTGGGACCACAGTCTCAAAGAAAACCAATTAGTAACACACTACACCGTCATGGATTAAAATCCTGCAGCGCACGCAAGGTCCCCCTGCTCAAGCCAGCGCATGTCCAGGCCCATCTGAAGTTTGCCAATGACCATCTGGATGATCCAGAGGAGGAATGGGAGAAGGTAATGTGGTCTGATGAGACAAAAATAGAGCTTTTTGGTCTAAATCCACTCGCCGTGTTTGGAGGAAGAAGAAGGATGAGTACAACCCCAAGAACACCATCCCAACCGTGAAGCATGGAGGTGGAAACATCATTCTTTGGGGATGCTTTTCTGCAAAGGGGACAGGACGACTGCACCGTATTGAGGGGAGGATGGATGGGGCCATGTATCGCGAGATCTTGACCAACAACCTCCTTCCCTCAGTAAGAGCATTGAAGATGGGTCATGGCTGGGTCTTCCAGCATGACAACGACCTGAAACACACAGCCAGGGCAACTAAGGAGTGGCTCCGTAAGAAGCATCTCAAGGTCCTGGAGTGGCCTAGCCAGTCTCCAGACCTGAACCCAATAG